CTCAACTGCAGGAAACTCTAAAGGCAAGCAACATGAAAAATATTCCATTACTTGCTTGCAATACTTACATGATTTATTTCAATTTGAGGAAGAAAAACAAAGAAGAAGAAATAAGAAGACGATGAAAATGGATGTGGGAGGTTAAACTGAAAATTTAAAATAAACATCTTCGTGAAAAATAAAGAAAAATATATAATCAAGTGGCTCGACAAATTTTTAAAAATAGTGAAGGGGTCACGCACAATCTTGCGGCACACGACAATTTAGAAAATCTGAAAAAGCGCTGTACATTATACGCTCCAAAGTTTGAGTAATACATCACACAGGACTGGTAATTATGATGAATCTAGATTTGTGACTTGTGGTTTGTGTGTCAAAACCAAACGTATATAATTTCAATGTATCATTATTTATACTACATGTCACCCTTCTAACTAACCAATTTAATTTCCTGTTCTACTTTGTCATTTGTTATTCGCCTTTTGCGACCGACTCGCCCTATGCCCTTTTACCGTCCCGCAAATGGAAGCAACGCCCTGATATATAATTTATCATTTTATTCATTCCGCAAAGGGCATGCAATGTTGGATTAGAAACAACATGTATAAATAAGCACATATTTACTTTGTAAAGTTCACACAACATGGCGGCGTAATTAGACAGAGCTAAACTTTGCCCTGTTTAAACGCGTTTAGTTCTACGAGCAGCGTCAAATTATTATATGACCTCAAGAAAAACTTCGAGAAGAAGTGGGCCCTTAATTTTAAATTATACGGCGGTGTAGATGGTGTTTGTTTTAAAATTCACTGGGAACATCGTTAAGACCCTCGCGCCCTTCGCTTTTTCACCCCTTTTTGCTTGATCAAAAGAACTTTGGCGATGAATGATTGCACTCTTTTTCGGAACAAGGCCGACTCGTCTTAATCGCACCGTTAGTTGTTAAAAATGAACAAAAGCGTTTAAAATTCTTGTGTTAACAGGGGTCTAATCTGACGTTACATCAATCGGATATGAAGAACAGCAAACAAATTTTATCAGGTCATTACACACAGGCGTCAAGAGTTCGCCCATTTTCTTCAAAACGCCGAGCCGGCAGGTTTTTCTAATTTTAATCATTTGTGGAAAACAGTGAAAAACAAGCCGACAGCTTATTCAGCGGGCAAAGATGTGCATCGTTTGACAGGATTTCCTTTCATATTCATTATTTTAATATCAGAGGAAAAATTTAATTTATTTCACTTTCTTTCTTATAACTCGTCTTAGCTTTTAAGACCTACCATTAAAACCGTAATAATAATCATTGTCTTTCGTTTAAAACAAAAAAATCAATCTGTTTCGTGATGTACCCCAATAAAATCAATTAATTACTTTTTAATTATAAAAAATCTTAATATTTGATCTCAAGTTTGTAAAATCGAACCCTGGCATATCTAACCTTGGGTTTTGTGTTTAAATTAACGGACTTAACGACACGCGAGACCCCAAGTGCACTACCGCACACAGCAATCTTGAATACTATAGCAATAAATAAATAAAAACTACATAAACAATAAAAACTACTAAATTCACTAGTTTTCGTGGTCCGCTTGACCAATTAATATCTTTCAATTAATTAATCCGTGTCCATTTCATTTGTCGCCGAGAATCAAATTGATTACACGACATTTGAAAAATGGCAAAACGGAGGGAAAATTCGAAAGGTGGGGTTGAGATGGAAAGTTAGTGTACGAGTGAATCGAAGTCACGATAACTCAAGTGGTAGAGTAGCGGCGTATTTAGCCGAAGGTCGTGAGTTCGAATCCAGCTCGTGACACTGACTTTTTTATCTCAACCAAAACCTTAATTAATTGAAAAATAAAAACTACTTTAAAACAGTGAGTGTATTTTCTTTCTTCTCCGTGTCTGTACGTACTCTCCGCATACATGCTTCACTGGAAAGTTGTATACATAGGCTTTTTCAATCGAATTGACTTCATTTAATTTGAAATTAACCTTTTATACGTATGTGTAATAATCAAAATATATACCCTTTTATAATTTCAAATAAACCCTTTTTTAACTTTAAATCAACCCATATTTGCTTAGTGGTTACAATTGATCATATTAAATATTCCAATTAATTTTTTTATCTAATGTTTTTGGCTGAGATGAAATCCCGCTCGTAACACTAATTTTTCGTTTCAACCAAAACCTTTTTAACTTGCAATTAACTTTTGAATTTTAATTACAAATTTTATAATTACAAATTAACCCTTTTTAACGTCAAATACACTTTTTAGTTTAAAATTAAATCTTTTAGCATCAAACAATCATTGTAATTTCAAATTAAACCGTTTTACCTTTTAAAAAAATTGTTGTTAATATAATTTCATATAAGCCCTTTTTAATTTTCAATTAACTTTTTATCATTTCAAATGTGTATGTATAAAATGTAAGCATGTACAGTAAAATGCCTCTATAATTGCGATTTTTCTTAAATATAAAATAATTAGTCTCTTAGAAGTCCATTTGAAAATTACAAACGAATAAAAATTGAAATTATATTATATTAAATCTTAAATAAATGATAACTTGAAAATAAAAAAATAAACACATAAAATTAATTTTTATCATATATTTCAAGATACCATACGACAATAAATTATTATAATTATTTCATTTTAAAGTTAGTTTTAAACTACGTTGGTCATCGTCAGCCCACTCATCTTTAGATTTCCATTTCTTTTCTTATCTTTAAACTTCTTAATTTCTTTTCCTTTCAGCCACTTCCTTCATTCTCACTTACAAATTTCATTCACACTGCCCCAGTGAATTCGATATTACTCAGAGTAATTGGGGATAAACTGCCATTCACGCTAATAAATTACGTCACAAATTTATTTACACTGATCCAGAGTATTCGGTATTCCTCTGTGTAATTGGTTATAAACCCTGCCATTCACGCTAATAAATTACATCACACATTCATTTACACTGGTCCAGATTATTCGATATTACTCTGGCTAATTAGGCATGAACCATGACATTCACGCTAATAAATTACATCACACATTCATTTACACTACTCTTTAAAAGGATAGTTCCTACTCACAGTAAGTTGTTTTGCAACGATCCGGATTTCGAGCCTTTTAGCTCATCATCAGGTTGAAGGACTTCTACAACCTGATGATGAGCTAAAAGGCTCGAAATCCGGATCGTTGCAAAACAACTTACTGTGAGTAGGAACTATCCTTTTAAAGAGTATTGAACACCACACTCACTCCATCATTTATCATTTCTATTCATTTACACTGGTCCAGAGTATTCGATATTTCTCTGAGTAACTAGGCATGAACCATGCCATTCACGCTAATAAATTACATCACACTTTCATTTACACTGGTCCAGAGTACTAGATATTCCTTTGGGTAATTGGGCATGAACCCTGCCATTCATGCTAATACATTACATACACAAACCACAAATCAATCACACTATCCCAGAGTAATAGATATTAGTCTGGGTAATTGGGGATAACCCTGCAATTCACGCAAATAAATACATTTGTACCAGTAAATAATATATATCACATACATACATGAAAATTAATTAAAATTAAAAATAATCTCATGTGTATACAATTATGAAAATATAAGGACAAATGATTCTTCGACATCTTTGTAAAGAATAATTTGTTTATAAAACCATAAGTTTATATTTTAAAAAACCTCCCATTAATAGAAGAATAATTTGTTTCATAGTTAATTTTATATACATTACTGTTAATTTTAATTAATTTTCGTGAAGTATTTTAGAACAGAACCGTTTTTTTCATGCTATGACTCAAAGAAGAGTCCTTTATTTTTATATTTAATTTGAAATAATTTTTAATTTTAATTGAAATTAATTTTCATATCTTGTAAGAGCCAATTATGTTCAATCTAACAAAAATTACAAATACACAGGAATTTTACTCAACATGCCTATTTATACGGTTTCATATCATCTACGATTTTAATGCTGGAAAGAAAGAGTTAATTTGATATTTTAAAAAGTTCATTTGTGAAGTTAAAAAAAAAAATTAATTTGAAAGTGAAAAAAGTTAATTTGAAATAGAAAAGGAATACTTTGAATTTAAAAAAATCATATAGATTTATCAATTATTCAATTAATTATTCTTTTTATCTAAGGGTTTTTTTTAGATAAAAAATTATCGTCACGAGCAGGATTCGAACCCACGACCTTCGGCTATACACAGCTGCTCTAACTATACTTGTGCTATCGAGGAAACTTATTCACAGTACAGGATTTGCCAGTAGAACGATAACGATGGGAACCTATAGGTTCCCATTTAAAAAAACACTATTTTGATAGAAAACAAAATTTCTACAAAATATGTTGTTTTATCCCTTACAAAACTAAATAAAGGCACTTGCAGAATACAGCAGAAACTCTGTTGCGACACTGGTGAAACTGAAATTTTAGACATAGCAATTCCTGTTTGCACTTTGCGCTTTCAAAGAGAGGACTCGGCCCACTTAAACTCGTTAATGTAAACGTTTTCCGTCCAATCCCTTATCCAACTTGCCATCTTCTCAACATCACGTGATAATCTCGTCAAAATTTTGTCTACCTAGTTGGGGGGGGGGAAGAAGACAAAGTACAAATGAAATTCCGATGGGAACATTGGGCTTTACAGAATATCAGATAGCTGGAACGTTACATATGGATAAGACGGGTCGGTTTATAGGTCACGAGCGTCAATCTAATCCAGCGATAAGTTCAAACCTGCTTCATAATGTATTACACAACGGTGCACAAAACAATCAGTGAATACACTTATTAAAACGCAAAACTCCATTGAAATCTCACAATCATGGATTATCACAGAATTTTAAATAAACCTACATAAAATATTTTTAAAAAAATCGCAAATTCCACTTCTTAAATGTAGTAACTGGATAAAATTTAAATTGATAAAACAAAAATTAATTAACAAATATAGACTCGATTAGACTTACCACTATCATTTCTGAAGGTTCGAGTACGAAACATTCGTTGGGGCGGCGGGCGCTGCCTCCTGTTCTTTTTCCGAAACTGAAACAATCAATAATCATTGTTTAAAACTATTTCTCCTAAAATAAACAAAAAGTAAACAATTTTGATATATCCTACTTAATAGTGTACATATTGAAGCTTGGTCTATTGGGTCGGAATATCACAAATAACGCACAGACCAACTAACAACTGAACATGGCGAAGTAAGACTATTAGACAAAAATCAGCGAGAAAATATACAAGACCAGGATGATTTCTTAGTTTTCCAGTGTTGAATGTTTTGCTCTTGTATACCATACTCCGAATATAAGAATCCCAATAAATCGAAACAGGGAACCCAAAAACCCAGATTCGGTTCCAAGGAATGTCTTGATGTCGAGTGCCATGCTTACTCGCTCCCTGCAAGGCTTCGTCCAAGTTAAGTCATAATGGATAAATTTGAAATTACTAATACTTGAGAGAGAGAGAGAGAGAGAGAGAGAGAGAGAGAGAGAGAGAGAGGGAGAGAGAGAGAGAAGAGGGAAAGAAGAGAGAAAGAGAGGGGAGAAAATAAAGAGGGAGAAGAGAGAGAGAGAAATAAGTGAGAGAGAGAGGGGGGAGAAGAGAGTGAAAAATAAGTGAGAGAGAGGAGAGAGGGGGAGAAGAGAGAAGAGAAATAAGTGAGAGAGAGGGGGACAAGGGAGAAGAGAAATAAGTGAGAGAGAGGGGGAGAAGAAAGAAGAGAAATAAGTGAGAGAGAGAGGGGGGAGAAGAGAGAGAGAGAAATAAGTAAGAGAGAAAAGAGAGAAGGGAGAAGTGAGAGAGGGGAGAAGAGAGAGAGAGAGGGGAGAAGAGAGAGAGAGGGGGAGAAGAGAGAGAGTGAGAGGGGAGAAGAGAGAGTGGGGGAAAAGAGAGAGAGAAATAAGAAAGAGAGCGAGAAGAGAGGGAGGGGGAGAGAGAGAGAGAGAGAGAGAGAGAGAGAGAGAGAGAGAGAGAGAGGGAGGGAGGGAGAGACAGAGAGAGAGCGAGAGAGGAGAGGAGAGAGTAGAGAAGGGAGAGAAGATTATATATATAATGTTTTTTATGGAATTCAAATCAACGTTTGAGGATAAGCCATACCCGATTAACACAAGGCAACTCCGCTCAGGTAGGTTTTTTTTTGTAGTTTTGTCGTTTAAGATAGTTTTTTTTTTTTTAACTGAACGAGCGTTGCGGCGTGTCGCATATTGCAAAGGAAGCGAGGGCAGCCACCATCAGTAGTAAGTACCAGCGCCACAATCTGCGTATATACCTAACACCACGTCTGCACAAATTAAAACACAATGTCACGGAATTTAAAATAAAAATATGTTTTCGTAAACCATGTATTGTTTTTGAAAAAAAAAAAAAAAAAAAAAAAAAAAAAAAAAAAAAAAAAAAAAAAAGATACTTAACGATAATAATCCTGTTAGGGCAATTTATCGTCCTTGCACACAAGGAAACACTTTCTCAATACTTAGATTGCAGATTTTTATTTACCCCGTTCGACCTTAACAACAGGTCTGTTTACATTTTATAATACATCGCTACTAGACATCAGGTTGTTGTATGTAAACAATAAATGTTTGGTAATGAATCAAAAACGATTATTCCGTTAAAAAATGAATGAAACATTATTCAGGAAAAGGTTCACCAATATTAACAACCATGTTTTATTGTTAAGTTGACAACTAATAAAAACTAAATAGACAGATTAATTGGGCAAATCAACACCCCTATGTGATATAGAGGGAATTCTATTCTTCGGACAATATTGACTGTAATATAAACTTGAAAATGTCCTAACACCGTTTATATTGGGTTGTCCGGAAAATAATGCAGGATTTTAAGTTTTCATTAAAAAAAATCTATATAAAATATTCTGTTTACGTTTACAGGATTACTCATTTGTATGAATGTCAACACTTATTAATCCTCTTCCAAATGATATTGTTTGTTTACCTCTGTAGCATTCCGCTACTTGGAAATAATTCAGTCATCCTTATAATGTCAAAGCGAGAATTTCGTACGATTTTCTTTTACGAGTTTAAACTCGGCCGAAGCGGAGCCCAAACGGCTAGAAACATTAACCAAGTCTGGGGCGAGGGTTGTGTTAATGAGTGCACTGTGCAAAGGTGGTTTAAAAAATTTCGGGAGGGAGATTTCAGCCTTGAAGATGAAGAAGGTCGTGGAAGGCCTTCCTCTCTTAATGATGATGTTCTGCGATCAGTGGTGGAAGAAAACCCCAAAACAACTGTTCGAGTACTTGCAGAGCAACTCACAGTCAGTAAAACGACCGTCGCTGACCACCTCAAGGCGATTGGAAAAGTGAAAAAACTCGAAAATTGGGTTCCACACTCATTAAACGATCGCCAAAAAAATCAGCGCTTTGATGTTTGTGCATCACTTCTTTGTCGAAACAAAAATGACCCATTTCTGGCCAGAATTGTTACATGTGACGAAAAGTGGATTCTCTACGATAACACTAGACGTTCTGGACAGTGGCTCGACAAAGGAGAAGCTCCAATACATTTTCCAAAGCCCCCAACTCATCAAAAAAAGGTAATGGTTACGGTATGGTGGGCTTCATTTGGTTTAATACACTACAGCTTCTTAAATCCTGGCGAAACCATCAATGCTGAATCATACTGTAACCAAATTAATACCATGCATCAGAAATTGGCAGTAATGAAGCCCTCTTTGGTCAATCGGAAAGGGCCCATTTTGTTGCATGACAACGCTCGACCACATGTGTCACGTGTAACGTCACAAAAATTATTGGAGCTTGGCTATGAAACTTTGCCTCACCCACCCTACTCTCCGGACCTCTCGCCTACTGACTACCATTTTTTTAGACACCTGGACCACTACTTACAACACATAATATTCAAAAATCAAACGGAACTGGAAAATGCATTTATTGACTTTATCAATTCTAAAAATTCTGAATTCTACTCAGACGGAATTAATAAGTTACCAACACGTTGGGAGAAATGATTAAAGAACATTGCTTTAAAGTAACTAGTTTCTTTTTTTTTGTTTAATACCAAAATCCTGCATTATTTTCCGGACAACCCAATAGAAAAATCCTGATGATTGAGGAGAGAAACTGCCCGCCGGATTGTATCCGATGTCCCGAGTCATTACCTGTTTGTTTACCGCTTGTCCCCGGGACAGAGTTAATTGATTGCGAAAGGAAACTCAATTAAGGGATAAACAAGTTAGTCGACGTTGTTTATAGAGGCTCCTTTTAATGTCTTTGCGGCCCACCGGAGGAAATAGGTCCACGTGAAAGAGACGTCGCCTTCAGTTTCGGAATTGTCCCCTTTGAAATCAATCCCTTTTGTCTCTCTTTGTGTCCTTATTATGAGGTCTAAAAGGAGGAGGCGGAAGGACGTTGGTAGGGGAAAGAAAGACTTTCTGTCCTTCTTCGGCAGATTGATGGACGGAAAAGTACGAAGATTTCGCCAATTGCAAAAATTGCTTGATATCTTTACGGTTTGAAAGCGTTGGATTTTGCTATTCTAGCTGAGGATAAATTTCATCGTGAAAGAATTCGGCTTCGGTATCCTAAAAAGGACCTCACACGGCTATTTTGATTGGACGTTTCCTTACAAACAGAACGTAAACAGATTTTCCTATATATTCTTTTCTTCTTTGCAATATCGACCTCTGGTGCCATATTGAACCCTGTTTTAATATCTCTCCCCCTCCCTGGTTTTATTTCTATTCAGCCTTTTATTGAATTTTAGCCGGATTTAATACAAACATAACGGTGGAACAAAGATTAACGTGCTAAAAATAATCAACAATCCATCAAGCCATAGATTAAACAAACGCTAATTAAATTCATTATTTAATCTTTTTATGCAAGGTCTTGGTTGAGTCAGCGTCAAGAGTGGGATTCGAACCCACGACCTTCGGCTAAATACGCCGCTGCTCTACCACTTGAGCTAACGTGACTTCGATCCACTCGGACACCAACTCCTTTTTGCCATTTTGCAAATATCGTGTAATCTATTTGGGAAAATTCGAAAAGTAGGTTGAGATGACGAATTGGTGTGGACCGTAGTCAAGATAGCTCAAGTGGTATAGCTGCAGCGTATTGAGCCGAAGGTCGTGGGTTCGAATCCCGCTCGTGACAGTGACTTTTTTTATCTCAACCAGCTATCGTGACACCAAATCCCCATCTCAGCCTACAACCTTTCGAATTTTCCCTCCTTTCTGCCATTTTTAAATATAATGGATTTAATAAATTCATTATTTTGAACTTATAGGAAATCGATATATAATTGCTGTTTATGGCAGAAAAAAATCGTATTTTGTTAGTTATGTTTTTGCAAAATTATACCTTTTCTCCATAGATCCGTCTGTCTTATTTCACTAGGGTCAGTGTGTTATTTTAGTTATACGTACCATTTTCTAATTTTTCTTTTTTTAAGTGTTAAATGTATCCACCACATTTTCACTCAGGTCATACGAGCCTTGATGAAAAGGCAAATTCAAATTGTTACTGGCAGTACAAGACTGACAGTAGGAAGATCAGGATGATTTATACCGTACGTTTTCTCGTGTTGAATGTATCGAGACTATATATATATTTCAAACCTGTCTACACCAACTTTTAAGAGTGGTTAAAAACAGCAGATCTTACCATCTTTCCAGGCATTCCGAACATGCAATGTGATTAATAAATAGCAGACCAAATGACTTTATTTTTTACTTTTTGCCATAACTGTCTTTTTTGACCAATTTAAAATCCAAATGCACCAATGTTTCCAGCGTAAAAAAATCCTTTAAAAATGATGTTAAGATGGATAGGGTCGTTTGTGAAATTTTGAAGTTCAACTGGGCCTGAGGTACCCTGCATAATTTTTCTACAAAAAAAGGGGAAAAACTGTAACGACTAAAAAATATTAATTTTTTAGTACACATTTTTTTAAATAGCGTAATTGGTTCAAGAAAAATTCAGCCAGTACTGAAAGTATAGTATTTAGTCCAGAAATTTAATTTTTAATTTTGTATTTCCTTCATTAAATACC